TTAATTCTAAGAACCCAAAAAAGAAAGCCAGGAGACAGACTTACAACAAACAAAATTTACAACAGAAAGCATCATTACATTAATGAAGGTTAATGGCACATATTGTAATTTAACTGATAATACTAGGACAAATATATATTATCTTAAATCCAGTCCAATTACATTACACACAAATATGTAACCCAATGCTTTATTCTATAGCTAGCAAGCTGTTTGTATTACACTTATACCCCATGGACGAACGTCATTACTCAATCGCAACCTTCAGGGGCAAATCCGACTTTTCCTCCGGCCACGTCATACACAACCTCCAATCTCCTCTGTTGAAAATTCCCAATAATCCCGACGTCACTATCATCCTTGTTTCCGGCAAACGCCAAGCAAACCTGCGAAGGACTTATCGGAATCAATATCCCGGTCGCGTCCAAGTCCACCGTAAGTCCATCCCCAAACACAAACGCTATCTTCGGATACGACACCGTGTCCAAGCCGCTGAAATCGTAACACGTGTCCAGCAACGAATAGCCCATGGTCAGCGTGTAGTTCTTCATAGCCTCCTGAAACGCGCCCCGCAACACGGCGTATGCCGTCGCCGGCAACCGCGTGATCACCGTCCCCGAGTCGATGATCGTTCCCGAAGACGAAAAGACCGAGGGCGCAATCGACAGCTGGCTCCCCCCGACGTTGATGCCGGCGAGGTCAAGGCCGTAAAACGACGCCGCGCTTTCGCTTTGGGATGAAGTGATGAGCTTCGTGAACTTAACGCCGTTAGGAGAGCCTCCGTCGCCAAAGGTGAGGTGACCGGTGGAGCTGGAAGTCGATGGGAGGCAGTAGGAGAAGAACCGGTTGTATTTATTGGCGGATTGCTCGACCAAGGAGATGCTGCTCCGGCCGAGACCGAGCAAACCGGCGGATCCGCTGAATAGGCCTTCGTTGTCTAGGCCACAGCCGAAGAGGAAACCTTCAAAAACGTCCGTGGGGGTCAATGTAAGCTTTTCGCAGCCAAAGACCCCGATAGTGAAGGACTTGTCTCCGTACTCGGCGGCATAGAGGCAGGCGGAGGTGGAGGTGAAGCAGCCGTGTTCGATGCCGGAGGATGAGAGCTGAGTACACGCGGCGGTGGTACATGAGATGTTTTCGTATGAGGTGGAGAGAGAAGGGTCGAAGATGGGCTCAGTCTGGTTGTAACAAGACCCAGTACATGGCTGGCATTGGGTCCAGGTGAGGTCGCTGCCGGTGTCGAAGATGAGGGAGAGTTGGTTGGCGGGTGTACCAAGGCCGACGGTGACAATGTAGTTCCCTGAGCCGATAACGAGACCAGACTTGGCGGGGAGGGTGGTGGCGGCGGATTGGGTGAGTGGGTCTTTGTTGTTGTTGTGGTTGAGGCGGGAGTGGATTGAGTTGACTCGGGCTTGGTCTTGCTTGAGGATTTGAGCATGGTATTTTTCAGCACTAGTTGTGGTTGAAGTTTTTGATGATTTGTGGAATTTGGAGCATGGCCCATGCTTGTGCACCACTTTCAATACCGATGATGCCTTGTTATTGTTATGACCTGAGATCATTGAAACATGTAAGCATAGAGAGAGAGAGAGAGAGAGAGAGAGAGAGAGAGAGAGAGAGAGAGAGAGAGAGAGATAATTTAAGTTATATAATATGGGATGAATTAACCTTTGGTTGAGTGGCTGCAGGTGGTTGCTGGTAGAAGAGAGTTTACTTCAACTGTGTGAGTGGAATGTGGCAGAAGGTGGGGTTTTGTATCTCTTGCTGCCAAAGCAAATCCGTTCTCGAAAGAGAAGAGAATTACGCATAGAAATACAGAGAAGAAACCCATGAAAAACCTAAGGAAGGAGGAGCTAGAAATCATGGGAGTTGCCATGAATAATTAACAAGATTGCCTCTAGATTATTGAGTTGCTGCTGTAATGTAAGCATACTCTTGGCCTTATATTGGCGAATTGGAGACAGGGATGTCAATTGGACTAAATCCTAGGATTGTCTTGGATTAGTTCGGATTGGCCTAATCTTGATTAAGTATTGAGCTACGTTGGACTAAGGAGCTGGATTGTAAAAATAGTGAAGACGTATGTTTGATGCTGTGTCAGACTAAAAAATAATTATTTTATTAATTTCTCTCTTTTTTCTGTTTTTATTTTTTTTTCTCTCTCTTTTATTTATTCTTCTCACACTCTCTCTCTTTTCTTTTGTTATCGTGTTTTTTTTTCCTTCCTATTTCATTAAAAAAGAACTTTTTTTTTCTTCTGTCTCGAAACCTCCTACCTACCTTTCTTTTTCCACCATGACAAAAAAAAAAACAAAACCCCTCTCTTTTTCCATTCAAAAACACTTTTTTTTTCCTTTATCTCTCGAAACCACCTATTTCTCTAGACTAACCCAAAACCTTCATCTCCCTGCTGCATAAAAAATAAGGAAGGTTGCTTCCCTGGCCTCCCTAGTTTTGATTTAGGGTCTTTCAACTGGCCTTTGGGCTAGCTAGATCTGCTTTCCCATCCCCTTCTACTGTTGGAGGTCTTTATTGGCAGAGACTTGCTAGATGACAGAGTCAACTTATTGATTTGAGCTCTTTCTCTCTCTTGAACGCCACCAGGAAAACTCTTCTTCCTTCCCTTTCAATTTGGCCAATGGTTCTATCATATTATTGGATATTGAACTTTTTGGTTTTGTTGGTTTCCTGAGTTTATGTCTATATATCAATCTGCCTTTCGACTAACCCTAGCCAACTTGGAGCGGCAACTATATTCTCCACTCGGACATCTATGTTCTTAATCTGAGTTTTGTTGGTTTCCTGAGTTTATGTCTCTATCATTAGTTCTTTTCAAAATTATTACTGGAAAAATACTATTTTCATTTGTTTGTAAATTACTATATTCTCCACTCGGACATCTATGTTCTTAATCTGGCTCATCAATTCAGTTATCTATTGATATTTTCCTTAAACCGTTCGTCGAAATGCCTCAAAAAGGTTGAGGTAGAAACTAATTGTATTTACCGTTGTAGCGTGAAGAAAAATATCTGAATCCGCCACTATATTCTTACGATCAAAACTAAACTACTTTATCATTTCTGTACTTCAAGATATTTGAGATTTAAGACAATCGTTCCTTAGTAGAATTAAAGAAAATGGGCGGCCAGCAAGGTTGGTCCAGCAAAGTTATCTTGTGTTTGTTTGATTGTGAATGGGACATCCCTAATTTCTGGTGCGAATAAATTAACAGCTGGAATCTTTTATCAGAGAGCGAAGATGATCAGTTGGAATCTTGCTTGGGTGTGGGGTAGACAGAGAGGTTGTAGTGGGTGGTGGAAGAAAGCTGGAATCTGTCCCAAAAGATGAGTGAGTGAGAGATACTGATGGAGATTTTTATGGCTTAACTTCCAATCATCCTGCAGTTTCCATTGCCAACAAATGATGTTTTTGACAGGCTTCATCTTCTGTACATTTGCCAATTTGGCATGCCCCAATTATTATTTTTCATCCTTTAATTTCCCAATTCCCCCACTCGGATTGCACGATTGAAAAAGATGAAAAGGGTTTAATGAAAAAAAAAAGCTTTCTCTGAATCTCTGGATAAAATCTTAACAACCCATACTGTAAGTTATCGTGTCTTTGAATCTCAAATACTAACCTTGATCAGACATTGTGAATAAGGATATTCTTCTCCTACTCGTCTCTTTATCTCTATCTCTGGATGGGGTGAGTTTTTTGTTATGAGTGTATTTTAGACGATAGGAAAAAGACCTTATTTATAAGCATCTGTTCCGGTACCTTACCCATCAAGGAGTACTCGAACGAATTCCTATCTCAATGTAAACGCACTGTTTGATTCAGTATCCTACTAATATTAGGATTAATACTTCATGATCAATTAGAGCTCTTCCAAATCAAATATGATTAGAAGACCACAATTTAGACTAAGACACGGATTTGTCTTACAGTCTCTCACTTGGTCAAATAATCACTAAGGGAAACTCATATTGATCACTTTAAGGCTTTGTGAAAATATATCCAGATAAAATTCCCACTAAGCCATTGTCAATGAAGAAAAATTATAAGAGACTATAGAGACTTATTGATAATACAGTTATCAAGGTCTTTATAATCACACTTAAAACTCTTCAACACCACATATGGCTTCGATCAAGATTAAAACTGTAGAATGTAGATGACCTTACTGAAAGTGCTTTAAACAAAAGTCATCTAATTCCTTTGTCCCTGTAAATGACTACCAAGGTCTCAATTTGCATACCCAAAATTACAAACTATCATGAATACAATCCTCTCATGGCTACCTTAAATGCATGCTATGCCACCCACTTATATTTAAGCAATCACATGTGCATATAAACTACATTCATAAATATACTATATTCTAATCCTTAAACTGAAAATCATCCAAATTAAAACACCACTGTATTGAATAGAAAATAGCAAAACTAGTTAAACTACCAGAACTTGATAAAACTCCCACTTTTTAGTCATCCAAATGAACTATCAATCCCATGCTAAGCACATGTCTGTGAAAAACAGAATTTGGTAACCCCTTAGTAAGTGGATTTGCAACCATTTCATTTGTGCCAATGTGCTCCAACACAGTATGCCCATCTCTAATCTTTTCTTTGACAACAAAGAATTCAACTTCCAGAATTCTTTATGCCTTTGTTCTTTTATTCCCTTTTGCAAAAAGTACTATTGCACTGTTATCATTCCAAAGATGTATAGGTCGTTGAATTGATTCAACCACACCCAAATTATTGATAAAGTTCTTTAACCACATAGCTTGAGTGGTTGCTTCATAACAAGCCAGAAATTTTGCCAATATAGTCAATGCAATTGTGAGTGGCTGCTTGTTACTTCTCCATGATATTGTTGCTCCAGCAAAGAGGAAAACATATCCTGATGTAGATTTCAAGTCATCTTTGCAACTTGCAAAATCTGCATCAGCGTAACCTTCTACTTCTAGTCTGTCACTCCTTTTGTAAACCAACTTATAGTTCCGTTGTTCTTTGCAAATATCTCATGACTCTTTTACCATCAGTCCAATATGCTTGTCCAGGATTTGATTGAAATCTTCCCGATACACTTACTGTAAAAGAAATATCAGGTCTGGTGCATACTTGTGCATACATGAGACTCCCCACTAATGATGCATAAGGTTTATCTGCCATCTCACGCTTTCCTTGATCAGTCTTTGGTGCTTGATTAGTATTAAATTTATTTCCCTTTGAAATAGGCACATCTGACCCTGCACAACCTTGCATGTTAAACCTTTTGAGTATCTTTTCTGTATAAGTCTTCTGTGATAGTCCCAACAAACCTCTCTTTCTATTTCTGCTAATTTCGATTCCCAAAATGTATAAGGCTTCCCCCAAATCTGTCATTGTCGAAATGTTTAGCAAGGAATGCCTTGCAATCGTGTAACATGGACATGTTGGTGCAAGCTAGCAGAATGTCATCTACATAAAGAATCAGAATTATGAAGTGACTCCCACTCATCTTCATGTAAATGCACTCATCTAAGACATTCTTTGTAAAACCATATAGTTTAACAACTTCATTGAATCTTATATACCACTTTCTAGATGCTTGTTTTAGACCATAAATTGATTTACACAACTTGCAAACCAGATTTTCTCCCTTCTCTTGAATGAAACCTTCTAGTTGTTGATATAAATTTCTTCCTCCAAGTTTCCATTCAAGAATGCAATCTTGACATCCATTTGATGCAAGTGTAAATCGAAATGAGCTACTAGAGCCATGATCACTCGAAAGGTGTCTTTTGTTGAGATAGGTGAATAGGTCTCATTGAAATCAATTCCTTCTTTCTGTGTGAACCCCTTAGCAACTAGTCTAGCCTTATATCTATCTATCTGCCCCTTTGAATTTCTCTTGGTTTTGAACACTCACTTGTAGCCAATTGGTTTGCTCTTTTGTGGTAAAGGCACAAGCTCCCAAACTTCATTCTTTTCCGTGGAACCTAATTCTGATTTCAAAATAGCCCACAAATTTTCATTTTTGTCACTCATCATTGCTTGCTTGAAGTTCATAGGATCCCCAATGTCATTCATATCATGCTCTAAGTCTTGAAGGTAAACATAATAATCATCATGTAAAGCACGTTTCTTTGGTCTTTCTGACCTCCTTAGTCTTGCGTTTGTCTGATTATTAGTTCCTTCTTGTGCTTGAACTGCATATTGATTTTCAGGTAGTAAAACTTGATTTTCATAAGTTTCTTCTTCAGTTACCATAGAGTTTGTACTAGTTTGCCATTCTTGGTTGTTTTGATTGCCATTCAAGTCAAAACTTGGTAAAACCAAAATGTCAATTTGCATTGTTTCCCCAGTTTTTGCAATACCTTCATCAAACTCAAAATTTTCATCTTCAATTGTCACATTTTCAGATTCTATAAACATTGCTCTATGAGTTTCTACAAATCTGGTAGTGTTTTTAGGACAATAGAATATGTATCATTTAGTTATATCTGGATTCCTATGAAATAACCACTTACAGTTCTCGAATCCAGCTTCTTTTCCATAAGGTTGTATATCTTTGCCTCTGGCTTGCAGCCCCATGTTTTCAAATGTTTCAAGCTTGATTTTCTCTTATTCCAAACTTCATAAGGGATATTGTTGATACCCTTGGTTGGTACTTGATTGAGTATGTAATTTGCTGTTTTCAAAGCTTATTCCCACAGAAAAATTGGTAAGTTTGTGCAACACATCATGCTTCTTATCATATCCTTTAGAGTTCTGTTTCTCCTCTATGCAATTCCACTTTGCTGTGGAGTATCTGGATTAGTGTATTGAGCAATGATTCCTTCTTAATTCCTCCCAGTCTCATTGAATCTCCCATAGAAATCTCCTCCTCTGTCAAACCTTACAACTTTTATCTTTAGGTCTAGTTGGTTTTCCACTTTAGCTTTATAAATTTTGAACATGTCCAAAGCACTGGATTTTCTTTGATAAAAATAACATGTCCAAATCTCGAGTAGTCATCTGTAAAAGTGATGAAGTAGTTAAACCCTTCAGGATGGAGTTGGGAATGGTCTACATACGTCTGTATAGATTAATTTCAATACACTTTGACTTCCTACAACACCTTTCTTTCTTAGGTTGGTCAATTTTTCATTTGTACATTCTATACATATATCATCTGCATTATCATGATTCAATGGTAGTAGAACTAATTATTTGCATAAAGTATTGATTCTTTCCTTTGAAATATGTCCAAGTCTCTTATGCCACAGTTTAAATGATAATTCTTTGCATGGTTTGGATTGAATTGAGTTGATTTTCATAGTTTCTTTGCAGTTTAATAGAAACATACCATTCAAATACTTTCTTTCCATTAAACTTTTATTTCTGAAAGTAGAACAACCAAAACCATCAAAGGTCAAAGTGAACTTTGACTTTACAAGCCTAGTAACTGAGATGAGATTCCTCCTCATTGAAGGAACATAAACCACATCTTCTAAAATAAAAAAAAAACAAGAATCTAGTTCAATCCTAACTACTCCAATATTATCTACTTGCACTTTCTCCATTGTATACGAACACCTTCACTTCATTCTTGCTTGGCAACCTCTTCTTTTTGAACCCCTGCAAAGAATTAGTCATATAAATAGATGCACTACTGTCTAACCACCATGAATCATTAGTAAAATAAACTAAATTAGATTCAAAGCAAACCAAAACTTGATCACTTTTACCCTTGGTTTTTTTGTTTGTCCAACCATTCCTTATACCTTATGTATTCCTTTTTATATGTCTAGTTTTCTTACAAAAGAAGCATTTCAATCCCACTGGTTTCAGAGCATTTGGATTGTTATTATCCTTTCCTTTTCTTTCTCTTTTCCAGCAGTAGTGCCTTTGTTCCTATATTCCTTATTTTGCTTGGACTGCACTAGATTCACCATTTTCGCATCTCTTTCTCTTATTATATTGTGTTCTTGTTGAACACATATGTAGATAAGATCATTCAGTGTCCAGCTTTCCTTTTGAGCAATGTAGGTATCTCTGAGAGACTTAAACTCATTAGACAGTGAATTCAAAGCAGATGAACCATCATATCTTCATCTACATTCATTTCCAAATCCTACAACTTAGTTCCAATGTCAATCAGATTCTTGATATGAGCTCTCACACATCCTTGTCCATCATATCTCATATTAATCAACTGATTTAGTATGGTACTTTTGACAGCTTTCTCAAACTCCTTGAATCTCTGTGCAATAGATTCTTAGTATTGTTTAGCATTCTCAGATTTAGGAATGCTTCCTTTCACAGATGTTGCTATTGACCTTTGCATAATTAGCATGCTCATATGATTAGCCTTTTCCCACTTGGCATATTTGGTTTTCATTGCTGTAGAAGCATCTGCAGCTGGTTCTTGAATAGATTTCTTTTCTAAGCACATAGTCATAATCAAGAAAACCTAAAGAAATCTCCAAATCTTGCTTCCATTTTTTAATTCGATCCAATCAATGTTTCAATGAATTGATAGTTTGAAGGATTTCATTGTAAACATATAACAAATAATAAATAACTATCCCCATTAAACTTTACTTAAACATTATCAATTCACACCTGTGGGTTGTGATTTGAACATGTTCCTAAATACTGGATTTTGAGTTTGACACAACTTCTTGCACAAGTAGAACTTCTCATATGTGGATGGAGAAGTCTTCTTGTTAGTCTGTTCAATCCCTTCATCCATATTGTACCATCACATCTGTTATCAGTTTGTGTATTTACTATATGTGGATAGAAGTAATCACAAAAGGCTACTAGTTGTGATGCGAGTATAGATCAATCTTTCAATTGAAAATTACTCTTGCAACAATTAAGCAGTTGTGGCTTACTTAATTTAAGCAATAATAATTCAGTCTTTGATCAATAGCTTTTCAAGCATGATCGAGCAAAAATTCTTGATGTCCTTGATCATACCTTATCACATAAGATATGCAATTGGGTTAAAGTCTACATGTTTCATGCTAATGATCAAAATTTTATTTTAGCTGCGGTCTTTTATAAATCTGTAGGTTGGATTAGAGAACAAGACCTAGTGCTCTGATACCAGATGTAAGTTCTATCATGTCTTTGAATCTCAAATACTAACCTTGATAAGACATTGTGAATAAGGATCTTCTTCTCCTACTCGGCTCTTTATCTTTATTTCTGGATGGGGTGAAATTTTTGTTATGAGTGTATTTTAGTCGATAAGGAAGAGACCTTATTTATAAGCATTGTTTCGGTACCTTACCCATCAAGGAGTACTCGAACATATTCTGTTTGCTAAGGAATAGGATGTTTTAATCCATATAGAATTAAGAATCCTTAAGATACTCCTATCTCAATATAAACGCACTATTCGATTGAATATCCTACTAGTATTAGGATTAATACTTCCAAACCAGATATGTTTAGAAGACCACAATTTAGAATATGGCATGGATTCGTCTTACAATTACATCAAATATTATACATCAATCAAACTAATTAAACCCACCTTCAACTGTGTGAGTAGTATGTGGTAGAAGGTGGGGTTCTGGACTTGTCACTGCCGAAGCAATGTCCTTTTCGAAATGGCAGAGAATTAGGAACATAAATACATACAAGAAAAGGTAATGCATGCACAAAATTCTAATATACTTTAAAGTACGGATACATCATGTTTCTAGACCGTTAGATAGGATCAACGGTTTACATTTATTGTAGTACAAAAAGAACAAATTGTTAGATATTTACCTACACAACCTGCAGGAGTAGGTTGCAAAAAGACAAAGTTGGGCCATTTTTTTAGGGCTTGTCCAATATAGGTCCCTACAATTTTTAGGGCTTGTCCATCATTCTATAAATCTATGTGTAAAACCCAATTTCAAACTTAAATGACTAGTAGGATATAAGAGGTCATAGTATTCTTATGTTTTTACGTCCTTGCCATCATACTTTATATTTATTTATAATTTATTTCAAACATTTCATTAACTTCCATAATTGTAATTAAAACTCCATATTAATAACATATCAATCACCCCCATTTCTTTTGGTTGACATTCCCTCTAACATATGGCCCCTTAAAATTGCAAATAAATAAAAAAAATATGTAAATTACATATCCAATAATATATATATATATGAAAAATGTAAATATAAATATATACATATAAAATATAGGTATATTATTTACCAAAAAAAATTAACAAAAATAGGTAAATTACTTTGTAATTGAAATTTCCGTACATTTTTCATAGATTAAAATAGGTACACAATAATTTGTAGAAAATAGGTATGTTGTATAATTGAAATTTATGCACATTTTTTATAAATTAAAAATAGGTACATTACTTAGAAGAAAAAAATAAGTTCATTATACTAGGTAAATTGTTTTACTAGGTATATTATTAGAGAAAAAAAAGGTGCATTATTTAGAGAAAAAAATAGGTTCATTATACCAGGTAAATTGTTTAGGGGAAAAAATAGGTACATTATTTTGAGAGAAAAAATAGGCTCATGTAAAAAAAATTTGTTTTCATAAAACAAACAATAAAAAGATGATCAAATTATTTTTTTATAAAACAAGTAATAAAGAAAAAAATAGGTACAATATTTGGAGAAAAAATAGGTTCATTAAAAAAATGTTTTTAAAACAAAACAATAAATAGATTATCAAATTATTTTTCAACATAATTAGAATGTACACTATTATTCATAAAACTATAATAAAAAAGAATACTGGTCTTATAATTCATGAAAAGAAAACAACATTAATTCCTAAATTTAATATTGAATTTAAATTATTAATACTTTAAATAGATTACTAGTCGTAATTCATAGAAAGAAAACACCATTAATTCAAAAACAGATTACTAATACTTTAATGTGGAATTTAATATTTAATTTCAAATAAGTTTTCTAATTAGTTCCTACATCCATTATAACTATTTGGAGATATTTCCAAATTCAACAGGTGTCATTAGTTACACCACCCATAACACATTAACTTATAAATAGGGGTAGTTTTGGAATCTGAAAAATACAATAAATCATATTTTAAGTTATATTAGGTAACTTGCTTAGTTGGATCATAGTCATTGAGTATTATTTGAAAAAATTGGGTATTTTACATAGAAAACTAAAGGGAAGGGTCGTGGGTGATTTAAAATAAATTTTATGGGTCTAAGCTCAATTTAATTTTTATAAAGAAAACAGCCTACATTTTTTTTTGAATTGTGGAAGATGCTTCTTTGTTTTTTTCAGAAAATCCCACCGTTCTCTCTCTCTCCTTCACCAAGCCCCTAGCATGATTGCAGCTGCGATTCCGGAGCCTAGCTCGAGAATTTTGAGAGGTCAGCGACGCCAGTCCAAGGCCGTGAGATTGGGACCTAGTGTGCCGGTGCTAGGGTTCGACGATGGTGGTCGAGGAGAGTGAGGAGCGTGGTGGCGGCACCTTGAGGCGGAAGGCTGTGAAGGCTGTGATCTCAATCTGTTTTCATGGTGGTTTCAGACTCAGTGAAAGAAAGAAGGGTGGATTTGGGTAGCGGGGAAGCTGGGCAGTGTCGATGGCGGACCTGGGCTTGGTGGAGAAGCTGGGCAGTGGGATTGGGAGAGAGAGAGAGAGAGAGAGAGAGTACGTGGTGGATTTGGGCGTGGGGAGGAGCTGGGCAGTGGCTATGGAGTTTGAGCATACCATTGGCCTTATATAAACAATTTGGAGGGTTTAATTTTCTAGCATTTGCTCCATACCATCGTGCTGTAACCCATTAATTTTTTTTGTTGTTTTTTTTTTTTTCGATCGACTTTGTCCACCCCGTTCTCTTAAGTTAATTATCTTTAACCCGTGAATTCTGTGTTGCCTAAAACCGAAGGAGTTACAAGGCAAAGACAAAAAATGAAAATGAAAGGAAGAAGGTTCTCTGTCAATACACATACATACAATATTGTAATTAATGCCAAGTGGACTTGGCGTTTGGAAGGAAGGTACTGCATGCATGCGTTCCTGTCCCTAGTCACGACTACTACTCCCTGTTAACGAAAGTGAAATAGAGAGAGAATTAAGAAGAAGAAGAACTTTTCTGTATTATTTATCAGAATACTATACTATACAATAAGGCTCTAACTGATTACAACAGCTTACTAACTAATTCTAACATCAGTCAATGACTAAGTGACACTTGTCACAATCCTAGCTCTACATACCCTAACATCCCCCCGCAAGATCATGGGTGGAGAATCCAACCATGAGATTGGAACAATGCGTAAACCAAAGAAGCATAAAAAGCGTTGAATTTTGCTGTAGTTGAAGCATACTAGACTTTTTTTTTCGTTGTGTTTGGAGCACTAATCCAAAGCTTGAGACATAAGAGCAGGGGCGGACGCACGTTGGGGACAAGAGGGGTCGGACGACTCCTTGGAAGGCTGGAAAGTTGGCAAGGGGACTCCATGAAAGCTCCCTTGTACAACTGATGGAAGCCCCCTTGTATGCACACCAAGTGCTCGACGAAAGTCCCAGGCGAGCTCTGCTGCGCAGCCTTCGCATCCAATTTTTTTTAAAACGAGCCTTGCCAAACGACGTTGTTTGGTTAAGGCTCAATCAAAATTTTTTTTTAAATTGACCTTGCCTCAAAACGACGTCGTTTTGGGCCCGGTTTTTTACAAAAAAACATAACATAACAGCATCAATTCGATTATGCCTCCAAACTCTTCATTCCCAATTTCACAGCCCCTCTTCCCATCCTCTCAAACCCTAACCTCTCCCAACCTTCGACCACCTCTATCAACTCTTCGCCGGTGGCCCAGTGCCGATCACCACCACCTTCTGCCCGCCCTCTTTTTCATCTACAAGTAAGCATGGAAAAATTTATATTAATAATTATAGTGATAATATATATTGTTGATATTGATTTTTTTTATGTTATGAAATTTGTGGATATGAATCATATTGATATATATTTTTTAATGTAATTAAATTTATGAATATGAATCATAGTGATAATCATATTAATGTAGATTGATTGAGTTTATGCTTGATTGATAATATGAATTGATTGAGTATATTGAATATTGATTGCTATTTGATACGATAATTTGGTATATTGAATATTGATTGATATGGGTTTAGGGAGTATATTGAATATTGAGAGTGGGTTATTGACGTTTTCATATTCATATGATAATTTGGATAAAAATGAATGATTGATTGAATTAATTGATTTGTAGATTTATGGAACGATTCTTTAAAAGAAAATTATCTACGGATAGTCATTCTCCGTCTAATCCGGGTAGTTCAAATGCAAGACCAATTGAAGTAGATGAGATCTTAGCTAATCTTCAGGCAGACCCTGGATTAAGAACTCGAATGGTGGATTATAGTCCTAATATTCGGAATGAGATTCGAAGAGCATATCTACAAAAGGGACATTGTCAACCTAGAAGTTATAAATTCCCACAAACTAATCAATCTGGAATTAATAGACGCTTCAATGCTTATTGGTTTGATGATCATGATTGGTTGGAATATAGTATTGCTAAAGATGCAGCGTTTTGTCTTCATTGTTATCTATTCAAATCTAATTTTGATCAAGTGGGTGGTGATGCATTCACTAAGGTAGACTTCAATAATTGGAAGAAGGCAAAAGAAAGATTTAACCTTCATATTGGACCGGTTGGTAGTGTTCACAACCAAGCTAGAGAAGTTGCTTACAATTTGATGTATCAAACTACACACATTGAAACAATTGTGATCAAGCAAACAAGCCAAGCTCGCACGGGTTACCGCACTTGCTTGAATTCATCACTTAAGTGCACTAGGTATTTGTTGCGACAAGGTCTTTCTTTTCATGGTCATGATGAAAGTGCACAATCAAGTAATAAAGGGAATTATTTAGAGCTCTTGCAATTTCTTGCGAATCATGATGAAAAAGTTAAGGCCGTTGTGTTGGAAAATGCTCCGGGAAATTTAAAGTTAATAGCTCATTCAATTCAAAAAGATCTTGTCAATTCTTGTGCTAAGAAACCATTGGTCTTAACTTGAGTGATGTAAAATATAGATATTTTTCAATAATGGTGGATGAAACATGTGATGTTTCAATAAAGGAGCAAATGGCGATGGGGCTGCGTTATGTGAATAACAAATGACAAATAATTGAAAGGTTTGTGGGGGTTCAACATGTAACCGACACTACTTCAAGTGCACTAAAGGAAGCCATTGATGAATTATTTTCTTATGTGAATTTGAGCTTTTCTAAGCTACGAGGACAAGGTTATGATGGAGCTAGTAATATGAGAGGTGAGTTCAATGGCCTTAAGACAAAGATTTTGAGAGAACAACCTTGTGCATTTTATGTTCATTGCTTTGCTTATCAACTTCAACTACTCTTGTTGCGGTAGCAAAGAAAAACATTGATGTCAACTCTTTTTTCACAGCGGCTAATAGTTTGGTTAATGTTATTAAAGCATCTTGTAAGCGTCGCGATGCACTTAGAGCATAATACCAAGAAGAGCTTGTGAGAGCTTTTGAAGATGATTGTCTTATAACGGGGCGGGGCTTAAATCAAGAAACTACTCTCAAACGTGCCGACAATACACGATAGAACTCACATTACGGTACGTTGATTAGTATCATTTCTATGTTCCCATCTGTGGTGAATGTGCTTTAAATGATTGTTGATGATAATCCTAATGATAGTTTGGGTGAAGCCTATAAGTTATGGAGAAAAATACAATTTTTTGAGTTTGTGTTTCACTTATTTTTAATGAAAGCTATGTTGGGAATAACAAACACTTTGTCTCTAGCATTGCAAAAGAAAGATCAAGACATTGTGAGTGCAATGAGTTTAGTGAAAACATGCAAGGAAAACTCTTGCAGTTGAGGGACAATGAGTTTGAAGAATTGGTTGAGCAAGCATCTTCGTTTTGTTACAAACATGATATTACAGTTCCTACCATGGATTAGGAATATGTAATTCTAGGGAGATCACGGCGTAATGCTCCAATGAAGACAAATTATCACCGTTATCGTGTGGAGATCTTTATTCATGTAATTAATGGGCAACTTGCGGAATTAAATGATCGCTTCAACGAGGTATGTACTGAGTTACTTACTTATTTGGCATGCTTGAGTCCGAAAAATAACTTTGTAGCTTTTGACAAACGAAAGCTACTTCGTCTTGCTCAATTTTATCTTTATGATTTTTTGGATAGAGACTTATTGATGCTTGAAGATCAACTTGGTGTTTATGTTCATCATATGCGTTCAAGTAGTGATTTTTCTCAATTGGAAGGGATTAGTAGTCTTGCGGAAAAAATGGTGGAGAAAGGAATGCTTCAAATATATCCTTATGTGTATTTGCTTCTTACATTGGCTTTGGTTTTACCAGTTGCAACTGCTTCAGTGGAGATGGCATTTTCCGCCATGAATATTATTAAAAATCCACTTCGTAACAGAATGAAAATCAATGGTTGAATGATAGCTTGATTGTTTACATTAAGAGACATGTTTTTGCTTCTATTGATAACGAAACTATAATGCAACGTTTTCAGAATATGAAAACTCGTCGTGGACAATTGTAACTTGTATTATTGGTTTCGTTATGAATTATGAATGGAAGTACTATCTTTCTATCTTTTTAGCATTATTTTCTTTGTAGAAAAATTTCAGAACTTTTACACTAAGCCTCATTAGCCACATAATCCTAGATCCGCCACTGCATAAGAGTACTCATGTGAAGCGTAACCCAGCAAAGTTGGCCAAATTGACACATATAAAAAAAAAGTACCAACTCCCGGCCATCATTTTTCCTCCAACGAAGACATGCTAAACCTTGCACTGATCCAGAGATAGTATAGAAACCACAGATAACTCAAATACACTTCATCAAACTTTGGCAAATGATTAAGAAGTAATATCAGAGGCATAATACATGCTCCATCAACTCTTCCAGTCAACGAATTTCACAACCCTATTGACCATTGTTTCCCTCTTTTCGGCGAGCCGGCCGACGGAAAGGACTTTTGGTCCTTCTTCTTTTGAGTTCGGGGCATGCCACACCAAGCCCCGAATTTGGGCTTGAGTGGAATGTGAATAAATGGATGTATTGCGCTTCAAACTTTTGACCAAACGATTGATCGGTCAAGCAATGAACATTCTCTTAGCCTAGATTCTTTCACTTCCTCGGGTTCAAGGATGATTAGGTTTCGTACGGATGTTTTTGTAATTTTTAGGGTTTTATGTAAAAATAATGCAATTGAACTAAATATGCGTATAAACGTAAAGACAAGAATTGAAGTGCGATAAAATAAATCAAAGCGATAAATAAAGCAAGAACGAAATAAAAGCGATAAGAATAATAAAACAAACCAACTTGAAATTAAACTTAATTGAAGTGCGATAACAATGTAAAGGAATCGAAATAAACTTGAATTTAAATGACAAGAAATATAAATCAAACAAAAATTTAAATGACAAGAAAAATATAAACTTACATTAGAAAAAGGAAGAACTCACTACACTAGATGCTTGAAAAGTAAAATCCTAAGTCTAGGAAAAGAAAAGTGCAAGACGAAAGGTAGGTTTGTTTGTCTAATGTTTTGTGTCTTCTGTCTTTGTCTGGTGAGGTTTATATAAGGCATTCGTCATGGACAGGCCATTGAATGGCCAAATGTCAACCCTTTTAAAAATCTTTCCTTTTGAGGTCCCTTGAATCCGTGGGATTACATTGGTTGAAATATTCTAATTGCTTGATTATCTCTTGTTTTGGAATATTATGAACTATCATCAATCTCCTTGATTTGTTTCCTTGTGAGGCCTCCGTCACATGCACATTGACCTCCGGAAATCTTGGGCTTGAATCCTTGGCTTGGGCTTGAACCTTCGAGATTTCATCTTGACATCTTGTGGAACCTCGTACCCATTGAGTTTTTAGAATTCTAGAGTTGGCTGACCATCCGCCAAGGTGGGTGGTATGGGATCTCCAAATATTTGGATGTTGGCTTTAACCCTACGTTGGACTATCTTTGAGTTCTGAAAAATTCAAATATTGGGAATTTGGAGGACATACTTCCCGCCAAACATCAACTCCCTCAGCGGAAATACCTCCCGCCGAACTTCAACTCCCTTTGCCCAACTTTACTTGCCCAAGTTTTGCGAGGATAAGTGTTTGGCCAATTTTGCAAGGATATGCCCGACCACTTTTGCAAGGAGACGCCCCACCACTTTTGCAAAGGGAAGCGCCCGATCATATTTTTAAGAAGGCACCATGGCCTTTGAAGAAAACACCTCGACCACCTTTTTGAGAAATCACATCGGCCACATATTTGTATTTATTCACTTATAGATATATATATATATATATGTATATAATTAGACAATGAGGTTTTAATCTAAAGAAACTCTAGCCCAGCCGCATCCTTTCAAGTTCTAAAGTTTTAGCCCAAACATCAAAAGGCTCCAGTCACTAAAATCCCGACTGCTCAAATCTCGACCACTTAAATCTCAACCGCTCAAATCCCTGTTGCGTTGCTTGGGGTCCATCCGTCGAACCCCAACTGCTTTCTCCAACAAAACCCGGTCGCTCATGACGCAGCCTAGCTACATTCAACCACGCCCAGCTGTCTCACAATCCTCAGATTTTTATACAAATTTATAAATAAACCCAATCCTAGACATGTATTTATAAAAAAACCCAAGCACTATTTAAACATAGAAACACACCCAAAATCAACCCCAAAGTCAACTTTTTGGGTGTGTTTATAAATGAGTTTTGAGTGTGTGTAATGATGGATTTTAGGTGTGTTTATATGTTTAAATAGTACTTGAGTTTTTTTATAATTTCAACCCCCATTTTGGGTGTTTTAGTGAAACTCCTTTTTTTTTTTTAGGAATGAGCACCATTGTAAAAATAATATAGATGCCATTTATATATAATAATAATAATAAAAATCCCTATCAGTACATCAATTATTTTTATTATTAGTTTTTATGAAATCAATACAAATTTACGGCAAGGAAGGGATCATCCGTATCCAAGAGACAATACAGTGTTTATTAGGAAAAGAATCAATGTACAGTTGCAAACAAAGGAAGGAATTAATGAAGGTTAATGGCACATATTGTAATTTAACTGATAATACTTGGAAATATATATAGTCCCCTTCTATTGAGGGATCCCTCAAATAATTTTATTTGAGGGACGCCTTTTAGGGTACCCTACAATTTTTTTTCCAATGATCCAAACCATTGATTTTTTAGGGTCTTCATTCATAGATCATCTTTACAAAAAATTAGACAGATCGAAAACCGTTTCGACATTCAATTGTGTTCTATAAAATCAATGAACACGGTGCTTCAAGAAAGTATTAAAATTTCAATAACTCAATTGAATGGTCAAATGATATCAGATTCAAGTGATTTTTTGTAGAAATGATCTTTGAATGTGTCTCTACAAAATAGACGGTTTGGATTAGTGAAATACAATCCGGAGTGGGCCGTACAAGGGGTGTCCCTCAAATAAGCTTATTTGAGGGATCCCTCAATGGAAGCTCTCTGTATATATATATTATCTTAAATGATAGCATATTTAGAATTTGGGTTTATCTTAAATATTTAGAAATAGTTAAATTTATATCTAGAAAATAAGAATTACATGGGTATTTCCCTTAAGAATAAGAAGCCAAAAAAGAAAACCAGGAGACACAGACTTACAGCAGACTTATACCCCATGGACGAACGTCATTACTCAATCGCAACCTCCAGGGGCAAATCCGACTTTTCCTCCGGCCACGTCATACACAACCTCCAACCTCTGCTGTTGAACATTCCCAATAACCCCGACGTCACTATCATCCTTGTTTCCGGCAAACGCCAAGCAAACCTGCGAAGGACTTATCGGAAACAATATCCCGGTGGCGTCCAAGTCCACCGTAAGTCCATCCCCAAACACAAACGCTATCTTCGGATACGACACCGTGTTCAAGCCGCTGAAATTGTAACACGTGTCCAGCAACGGATCGCCCTTAGTCAGCGTGTAGTTCTTC